ATTTTTAGTAATTATAAAAAAATATATAAAAAAACATTTTAGCGGCCAAATATGGCCGCTAGACGGTTTAAGGGATAGGTAAATAGAAAGTATAAAAAACCTCACAAGAAATTAATTTATGAATTTTATGGGTATATATTTAGCAATTAGCAAATTCGAATCTAACAATGTTACTAGTATATCGATATGTTATTTATTAAAAATCTTTGTATATTTCTTGTATAAAATGGATATAATTTATTGGTTTACAACTTTATGTAACATACGAATTATTTTAACCTACTTTTGTATTTAAGGTTATGGTAAGGATTAATTTTAGAGTTGGCAGTGTGGTCGGGTAATTATGATCGGGATCATGTATCGTGACCGCGTTGCATAAATGGCGTGATTCGGGTTTGCAGGAATTAATTAAAATTTTAATGTGTAGTAGTCTAATGCGTGTATAATCTGTAATTTAGTATATAACAAAAGTCTCTTTAAGAGATCTTGCAAACGTTGATTATTATTAAAAAAGAATTGCTTTAATAATAAATACTGTGTGGTCTTCTCTTCAAGTGGTCCTCGTACAGTGGAGTACTTGAATGATGCTCCAGTTCGGAAATATAGTCAAGCGAATGATACAAACTTGAGTGGAACCCCAATAATCCGAATAAACTTTGTCAATAATTTTGCAAGGATTATTCTTTGCTAGAGTCCCAAAAGAAGTTTTTAATCGGGATTTTTAAATATCAACTTACCATATATGTACACAAATTGTATAAATAGAAGTTCTCATAATAAATTATATTGTATATTTAAAAATGATTAAAGTTTTTGATATATAAATTGCTTGATTTATAAAAAAGCTTGCTTATATCTAAATATTTAATAGTTACTTAACCTAGCAAATCTTTTATATAGTAATAAATATATAACTTCTAAAAAATTATAAAAAATTATAAAAAATTTCTACATGTTAATCAAGTAAAAAATGGCAAACAAACCAAAATGGATGATTATATGTTATACGTATTACATTGAATATTTAAAGGTTATATACTAATTTTTAAGATTTTTAATATCTAATATTTTTTTGAATAGTACAAAGTTGATTAAATTCGTATTGTGTAAATATGGTGCTCCAAATTACTTCACATTGAATTCGCTAAAATATCTTTGAAATAATTATATATTTAATTTTTAAAAATACTTATAAATCTTTATTATCAGCTTTAACAGAAACAGTGACATAGTTTACAAAAAATCGGATGATTCTTAGGATGAGATTGAAGAAGGTTTGAACCTGTTATAGCAAATTTAATCTCATTTTATAACCATCTATATTAAGACGCATTAGAAATGAGCAAATTTTTAGTGTCCTAGCACTTATAAAGAAGCAGTAAATTTGATTGTCGCTATAAATTTAGAGTTGGAATCAAAATTTTTAACTCTATTATCCAATAAGACTCATAGGCAAACGGGTGATCCATAAACCAGTTTGTCAAATTGGTAATTTTGATCCCTACCTATGTATATGATACATTAGTCATTATTATTAAACAAGCGAGTAAAATTGAATAGTTAAATAATACACAATAGTCCAGAAAGCTCCATTAGATATCATAAAGCTCTAGCTTTTAAATGGCATATGAAATCAGCTAAAGATGGAGAAAGCATAATTTTGGTTATTGCTACAAAAAGCCTTGAATAGTATAAGAAATCTACCAATGTTATTATCAACCTACCTGTACACAATACCATCGACAAATTTTGCCAATACTGAATTTGTTATTCTCAATGAATCTGATAATATTGTATCTGTTAATGTTGCTGTCAATAAGAGAGCTGCGCACACCAATACCAAATATACTTATATCTCTATTGATAGAATGGGTAAAAAAGTTCGTAATCATAAAATTTCTTTTGGTGAAAGACAATTTAAATAAGCTAATAAATACTTATAGTTTGCTATTGAAGCCAAGATACCGCTTTTATAGTTTTAATTTAATCTCCTAGACTGCTTAAATGTCTTTATTGATTTGTGATAAACCCATTTGAATAAATCACAAACATATTCAATACACGACATATATAGAACACATGTTTCTAAAATAATTTTATATAAATTTGCTTTTAGTAATGATTTTATTCATTGCAAAGTTTTTACAAAAAGAAAAATGGATAAAATTTCATTAATTAGCTATCCTAAATATTAGCGAAACCAGTGCTATTATTGAATAAAAAGCTATTTAATAATACAGTATGTAATTTAACAATATATAAATATGTAGAACTGATAAAAGCTGGTTTCAGCACAAGAAATATTAAGTCTTTTATGTGCATTGGAATAATTCAAGAGCAGTTTTGAAGTTAATCCAGGGATCATAAATCACATTATAAGCATTAAGTTACGCCCTTTCACCTAACGTTTACCCAATGCTTTCATGTGATTTGATAATACAGTTTTATTTATTTCTGTGCATTGGTTCCTCCACCCTTTTCATGGAGATATGCATAGGTCCTAATAAAACAGTGACCAATCATCAAAATCAGGTACCTACGTATGGAACAACATCGATAGTAAATGTATCCCTTTGAAAATCAGAATCTATTTATTTTACATAATCCCTGTTTTCCTTTTCGAATGAAACTTGCTAATTTACGCAAGATAAAGACATTTTATTGTACAATTATTTTCGGAAATTAATTCTAACACTAATTCTAAATCGAGACATCCTTAAATGTCGGAAATGAATACACAAAACTTTGAATAATCTTATATATTATTATTAGAAACAAAATTACTTTAATACTGCGTATAAGTAAAAAATTCCTATCGTAATTCAATTAATGTTCTTTATTTGCTTTAATAATTAAACGGAACATGAACATTTAATAATATTATATAATGACTAAGAATTGCTATTATTCAACTTTTTTATGAATTTGAAATATTTCATATTCTTCCACCGAAAATTCTGATCTACTATTCTTACTTTTAAAAGCATTTCTAATTGCTTTTTCATATGAGCTATGTTTGTAATAACATAGATATCCTTCTTTCATAACAAGATCAAAATCGACCCTTTCAGTACCACCAAAACATGGTCCATAATAGTTATTATTATAAATCGAATATTCTGGTTTCTTTAAGCGACTTAAAATAGAATTTTGTGAAGTACCATTATTCAACGAGAAAATAAAACTCTCATTACAACTAATATAATATTTTCTATTTTCCAATTTCTTCCAACCAATAGGATTATATCCACCAAGAATTTCATCAGTATCTTTAACCTTTATGACTACAATTATGTTTTTTTTTTTATCACATAAATTCCAAAATGTGTTAGCGGTAAAGTTTCTTTCACGATGTAGTAATTAAAGTCATAAGTATTATTTGCAATTGAATATGTATTATCTTTCTTATCAATCCATGAAGCAATTTTTGCTGCATATGCATTACTAATGATTGTTGAAAATAGTTCTCGTGATGGTAGGCTTGGAGTTGAAATTAAACGTGGTGGAAGAATTGTTGATGTAATTGTTCTATTTGGTGACATAAATCGCTTTTTTATATCTTTCCAAAGACTTTTTTCGAGAATACGTTATATGGTTCTACATTATCAATAATGTCATCTGCTGACATTTGAAAATAACTTATAAGAGGTAAACAATTCTGTAAAGTAGTTTCTAAGACCTGAGAATTTTCTTGTGACCAGTCTTCTAGATCAGATGGTAAATCTTGATTTTGAGAAATTCCCCATTTAATAACATAATTCCAAATCTTCACTTCTTTCATTTGTAAATCATCTCGTTTGATAAGCGAAACTAGTGCATTTTCCTGAAGTGTGTCGAATATTTCTACGTTAAAAACTTTTTCTGAGTACTTTGTCACAATATTATTGCAATTCCTGAAGCCTATTATTTTGGAAGCTTGTTTGATAAATGCGAGAGAAATGTAATCGAAGCCAGTGAGATTCTCCTTTGATTAAATAAGTTTCAAGGTATTGGACCAATTCATCAAGAAGAAACTTGTACGCACAATCATAAGTTCAAAAATGAATGATGCATCATAATTTTCCAGTAAGACTACTCCTCCATATATATATCTTAATGTAAAATTAAGTATTAATTTATCTAAAACATTTTAAAGTTGTGAATTAAAGAGTTTGATAACTTACTTGATAATAATTTCAAATTGCTTGATAGGAATATTTTTTAACTTTATCGTCTTTATATGATTTTTATCTTTATCAATATTCGTCAACTCATTTCGAAAATATAATGAACGACGTCTTAAAACTACTGAATGTGTTTTGAATACTTTTATACTTGTATTTGGTGATTCATCAACACATTAAAATCTTATTTATCGTCAAGAAGTTCAAGAAAATCTATCAAAAGTTTTTTAAAAAATCTACATTCATTTTGTTTAACTGTAACTTTATACTGACAGTAAAAGGAATTTATTGTTAGTGAATAGTAAACGTATCAGTTATATATTGATACTGCGTTCACGTGTTGATTATTGCGTAATCCTATCCTTACCAGTCTATCTGCTTAATCTGTAGTATTTGAATTTTGGGGTTCTAACTTTAAAAACACATTGAATAGTTGGATGACGATATGAATGATATTTGCCAACATTCTGAAAGTAAATACAATAATTCTTATTATTTAATACTTCACTATGATCAGTTTATAAAATAAATCAATTATTTTATGGTATTTTTAAATGATAAAAT